GGGCATAACCGCCTCCACCTCTATAAATAAATAAAGTTATTTCCATCTATCCATTTCCATTCTACAAAAGCCGGTCGACAATTCGCCGGTTTCAGTCGCAACCACTTTGGTTTTCATAGTCACGTGGCGCTAAAACTATGTGTACCAAATATATTCAAGTTCCTTTGGTCATCTAAGGCTCACATTTAATATTAAAATAGGAAAGAACACGAACCCTATTTATGTGGCCTGCGAAAAGCTGCCAATACGTTCATCTAAAAAATAAAGTTGCACATACCACTGGAAGTACATGTACACTGCATTCTCAATATGGCGACATACCGCGAGGTGTACGACGCGATGGCGGTGTTCGACGGATTGAGGTTGCGACGGAAGTGAGCTTGCTACTAAGGAACTGTTGTTCGTGGTACCGGCCAATCGATCTTCTAGAGCAGAACATCGAGCGGAAGGGATATAATTGCGAAACAATCGCACGACAAACGGTGCATGCAACTTGGTCGTCGTCGTCAGCTTCACATGCCGAAGAAGCAGAAGAAGAATACAACGCGGTCGGGTGTAGCCATGCAGTGCTGGGCAGGAAATGCCAATACTGAGCTACTTGTGTTTTAATGCCCAAAATACAGATGCTGAAATACGTTTGTCTTTTATGCTGCGGGATATCTCTGAAATACTTCTGCAAAGAAGGCGCAAAAGTATTCCGGAATACAGATACCGACACTTATAGAGACACATTTTTTTCCCGAACGGTGCTAGGCGGTGAACGTTTAGTTCGTGGAAAATATGAATGGTAATTTATGATTTCAGCTTCTGTTTTATGTCATTTAATGCTGTTCCCCTACCTCGAACTCTTTATTTATTCATATTACCGCTAAGCAAAAACATGTCACCCCCTCTGAACCTCATAGTTACAGAACGATTAAGACTGCGTAGCATACATGACAAAAGTCGTGTGCCCGAAATGAATCCTGTTTTGCCGTGAAGGCGCATCTCAAACTGCCAGACAAGAGGACCGTACGTTTTATGCACTCAACTTCTTTACAGCGATCTCTCTGCTTAATAGCAAAGAGTGGAGGGCTTTGTGAGACGAGCTCATTTTGTTATTCTCGCCCGTATCATTTTTAAACCCCAGTTGTTTTTTAATGTCGGTGACTGAGATAGATCATGTTATAGGACTGGTTCATATTATAAATTACAAAGCAACCTGCACCAAATTGATGCTCTTAACTTCTTAAATTTATCTTAAAAAGGACAACAAATATAACGAGATGCATAAGACTGCTAAAGCATCAAGATACAAGTGACACATCTTAAATGCATTTCACTACTAAGATACAAATATATTTTTCGAATGTATCTCGACAGAGAGATACAGATACTCGAAAGTATCCCTAACATACTATTGCGATACACTTGTATCGCGATACTGCCCAGCCCCGTAGCCAGGTGGCTTCTGGTGATGTTTTCCTCCTCTATATTTCTCCCTCCTCCTCGATACACGTGATCCACGTGTCTTCGCAATGAGCTTCCGCGCTCATGTTACTTTTTCGGTTTCGGGCAGTTGCGTTTCGGGCTTTATTTAGAATATTACTGACTGTAGAAAATTTTGATTGAACGGTCAGCTAACACCTTATTAAATTGCATAACAAAATTTAAAAAAAAAAACAAAAAAAAAACATTGGGGTGTTATTTGCAATCGGCGTCATCAAAATTGTCGTGAGTGCGCAGATGCTGCTTTCCATTGTTTCTACTTCGACAGCGAATAACAAAACGATCAAAAGACACCATTAAACAGTCGAAACCCGTCACAACTAGACGTATGACAAGGCTTTTCTTCTTTCTTTTAAGTGTCCTGTCTTGCCGACATGTTCACATAGCACTCAAAAATCCTCGAGACCCATCGCCTTATACATTTTGCGAGAAAATACGCGCGCCCCCTCGCTAAATGGAGGCCGTACGCCGTTCATTCATAATAAAAGTGATTAAAATGCAGCTACGTGATGAGTTTGCCTAGTTGGTATGCATTGAACTTAGTGATAAAGTCTGGAGACGTAACTGCTTTCAATTTTTTTAAATGACCACGTGTGCGACAAACCCATCAACTTTTCTATTTCTTCTTAATCGTACGGTAACAGTTACGCACTGAAATTACGCAGAAACCCAGCGGACATTAAATAAGCATTTATGTCCAATAATCAGTGTTGAACTTCACGAAACTGTCTCTGTTCTAAACTTGTCCTTTATTGACTACAGACCGAAGGGTATACAATGCAGGACTATCTATTTAGTCTTGCCTATGAACGAGACACTGGATCTCATGAAAATGGACTTGCCACAAACAAGAAATACTTCGTCACGACTGGCGGGTTACACGCGTATAACTTGTCCATGGGCATAATACTATCTCACGACGAAAGGAGCAACCTGCTTGACTGTCCCAGGTCACGTTGGCCGACAAAAGAAAGGATGGCGAAAACAGCCTTAGAAGCAACCTGTCTTCTTGCCACTTCGATTTCGCTGGTGACCTTGTTTATGGGCTTGATCTTGTTATGTACTCTACTTGTTAAGGCTTTCTGTCAGCTATTTTCTAAATACTGAGGACTATTTCCCCTTACTCCCGGATCTCTCCACTGACCTATTGATAGAGCCCGTCTCGGGCTCTCAGGATTCACGACGTCACAGGCGTAAAATGAAGGTGCCCGTAACGCGTGTTTACCGAATATAAAAAGGTGGCTCCTCGATTTCCACCTGACGACGTTATACACCTTTCCAAAAAACGCTCCTAGGCCGCCACCATGTTGCTGATGCTGATGCGGCTGGTGCGACTCTCGCGCCCTCTATCAGCTAGAAATTTTCTGCCACTCTCTGGGACTGTGAAGACCTGGTCAGTCCGGTTCTCTACCTACTTTTTTGCGGTTTTGCATTCGACGTTCTCTCGCCCCTCTTGAAAGTTTCCACTTAATTTTTTTTATGCGTGCTGTGTACCCTTTTTGTGTTATCTTCCATTGTGAGACATAAGGCTGGTAAGTGCCTACCATTCAAGTTTTCTGCTCGACATTCACTGGAAACGAAGAAGGTGAAGGACGTCGTACGACCCTCGACGCGACTTTTGCGAACATTGTTCTCCCCCCTCCCAGAGATAATCCGCGTAGAATCCTCAGTCGTCTCCAAAAATAGTTGTCCGGATTGGGGTGATAAACGGGTCAGTCGCGTTTGTTTATTTGCCTTGTGCGGTTGTGAAAAAAGGAAGCTCTCCCCAAAAAGCGCCCCAAAACGAAGTCATCTCGGATTCCTTCCGATCGTCAAGGTGTGACTGTCGTCGACTGTGACTGTGTTATTTGAGATCTTTCTCAAATAAATTCTTTTCGGATAACGCTGCATCGTGTGGTACGTACGATATATTGTTCGAATGTTAACACTTCCTCAATTGTATGTCCGTGTCCTGTACATCGGTAAACACGTTATTTGTGAGCGTGCAAAATGCATGCCTTTCGGCCCTGTTCTGTTGCAATTTATTTTTGACAGCAAAGCTCTTTGTCGTTTCACATATGCGGCGAATCCCGCGGCGCCGTCAAAACTTATCGTAAAAAAAAAATAACTAGAACTATACATAGTCGCATTCGTTCTGTCGCGCGCGTATCCAACAAAAATAGTTTACAGTTTTTTGTTTTTTTTTTGCTTTTTTTGTTTGTTTAAATGTGGCACAATGCTTTCTCAATGTCCTCGGAAAAATGCATGTACCATGAAACGCAAAATATAGCGGGAAAAGACGAGAATTTAGCCGTCAGCAGCGTTTGAAACTGCGCCTACGCGGGCTGCGCCTATTGAAATCACAGTCCACTCGGTTAGGGTTAGGAGGGACGCCGGTGAGAGTCTAGCCTCAAACTCAGTGACTGGGCTCACAAACGGTTTGTTGCCCCTGGGGTCGAGTGTTTTTTGGAAAGGTGCATAGGAGTGTCATGTTTTCGTCGGCCGCTGTCCTAGCGGTGTTTCCGAATCAGCGGTAGTTTATGGGGTGGAGAGTTCGCAGAAGCTTTGGCAGTCTGGAGTTGCGAAGCCGCGACGACATTGACACTTGCCCTTTGTCGTCCTTTCTTTCCATAATTTCTACGTTCAACCACCATAATCGCAAATTTTTGACAGCATAACACTCCAGATTTTGCGACGTCATTGTTTGACAAGTCGGAACCAATTTGCATTCGTAAACGAAATGGGAACCTAAACACATCAAAAGGAGGGCGTTCGAGGCACTGAAGTAAAACGTCGAACGTCGGCCGATACAAGCGTTACATATCTCGCTTTACTTGCTTCTGACTGACCAACACCAGTTGCCAGAGTCTTTCCCGCTACACCGGAAACTAGTGTACGTAAAAAAAAACAAAAAAAAAGAAACTTGATTTTACTTTAGTAGAAAAGAGGAAAAAGGGGAAAGAGCTCCCTAGGTGTCTTGGAACCGCGACATAGCTACGATGCCTTAACGGCCAGACCAGCTCTGATGTTGACTTCATTAAAGAAACTAATAAACCATTAAAATTCCTTCAAAGCAATATATACAAAGTTTTCGCGAAAAACGTTTTAGATATATATACCTTTTTTTTTTCATAGCAAAATAAAATAGCCCAATCAGGGATACGAGGGATTTAAAGAAGTCTATTTTTGTTCAGTATTGAAGAAGCGGAAGATAAGCTCCCGTCTTGTCTTAGAAACATATATAGGCTATCTATAGCCCCATAACGGCCAGTTCTTCTTTCGTAGAAACTCTTCTAAAAGCTAATTCCACCGAAACCATTGTTTTTTTATTCCTAAAAAAGTGTTTCGAGGAATGTATTTTATTAATTATTAAGAAAGTAAAAAAAGGCTGTTTAGGAGTCTTTGGTTTAAAGTAAGATATATACGAAAATACTGGTATGTTTGACACGTAGTGTTCAGTATATAGAACAAAGTTTTATAAAAAATTAAAATTGGGAGCCAATATGTTTATTCTTTTTTTCAGAAGATGGACTTTACGTCAGGCATATTTCGTTGTAGACCTCGTATATTTCTCCTTCGCATAACGTCTTGTAAGTACCAAGGCACTCTTGGATAACATCATTCGTAGGGTTTTCGTACGTCCACAGCTGGCATTCTGAAAACCAGAACGGCAGACATCATATGGAGTAAATTTAATGGCAAACTCTAAAGGGGATCTTAGAAAAGTACCCTTTTCACAACACCCTCGACTAAGTGCTCCATCACCCTTAAGACGGAAAGCTCGGCCCCTTGATATTTTATAGGAGAACATTCCTAAATAGTGACTTTTCTAAAAGTTGCTTGTGGTTTTTATGTGTCCACCGGCCATTATATGGCATATTTTTAAATTGTAAAGCCGGCCTAACAGACTCACATCTTTGGCTTAAATCGTACGCAATAAAATGAGAGGTATATGTGTACATAAATTAGGTTTTAATTTGTAAACATTTACGACCAAGTTAGGTAGGTTAATCACAGAAACATCTATGAACACCACAATATCAGTGTTGAACGCTTATTTTATCTGCTGTTTAGAATATAGACATTATCATGATCTGATCAGGTATTTTGTTCATTTTTGTCTTTGTATCATCTTCCGGATTAGTGTGCAGTCAGCAGAAATATGTTTCTTATAGGTAACAGCTGTATCGTATATTTATATAGGCACTTTTGCTACCACAAACTTTTTCAAAGAAAATAATAGCATAGAAGCAGCAGATATCTTAAACTGAACATTGTAATGACAACTGGTTTACTTTATTTGCCCTATTTATATTATTGTGCCAAAAATGAATGCAGTAATAATATTTCATTGATAATCTTTAAAGTGTGAATATTTTTGCAAAGAAATACAACTTATCGTATGAAAGAACTAATAGAGGCACTGAGTTTTCCTCGTAAGGTATATAATACACATATTAATAAAAATCGTGTGACCCATTTAGATATTATTCCACAATTCAACAGCAAAAAACCATGCTGATATCATATATACATTTTTGTCACTGAAGGCGACACAGATCTGTATAATGTGTGGAGATACCTTTCTTCATACTTTGCCTGGCAGATGTCACATAGTCAGCATTCTTTGCTTGAGAAAGTAAACTTAGAGCGGGTTGGTAAAGATGATTTAGAAAACACGAAAGAATAAAGCGACAGATGTCGGTTGTCAGCTGAATTCAACGTGCTGTCTGTCTTCGTCCCTACATTTTTTTATTATTTCGCGTATTTCAAATCTTCATTGCTTCTTTTTGTTTTGTTTTATTATTTATGCAAATGTAATAACGAATATAACACGACATGGCGGACTTCAGGTGTCCAAAATCTTCCTCTATGGTTTTTATATTACCTGAATAAGATATGGTGATTGTTTAGAAGGCCTTTTAGAGGCACTAATTGCCACTCTGCAATAATCTATTCATGGTTGTAACTCAATCTATGGGTTCTAATCTTCCTAACAAACCAAACATTACATTCACGCATGGCCGATTTTTCTATTAAAATTGATATGAAAGGTCGATTACCTAGGAACTATCGCTGACACGAGATGGCGCCGCTGCGCGAAGAAGGGCTGGGCCCAGCTCTTCTGCTCCGATAGTGCCATCTGGTGTCAATCTCCTTAAACCGTTTACAACAGAAACATCGCCCACACATGAATGTAATGTTTGTTTTTAGGTTGCTTAGAGCACGTAGATTGAGTTATGCCCCTAAATAAACAATTGCGGGAAAGGCTCAGTGCCCCTTTATAATTGTAAATTTCAGAGATGAAGGCAAGACCTTTCCAGTTTCTTTGTCCTATGCCACTTCACAGTAATGTTTTGCAACACGTGTTTTTAAGGGCTTGCTTACTTCTTTTAATATATCTACCTAGGGTCAAGTAATTAGGAAGAATCAGAATACTGCAAAAGCAACAAGCTATGTTACTTTGCTTTGGTTATTGAGTAAATGCCCAAAGTTGTCATTTCCTGTTTTCATTTGGGTCAGGAAACTCGTGTCGGATTTATTATTTGACACTGATTTATTGCCCTCCTTTGAACTGCGGTATGTTAAGATATTAAAGGAAATTATTATTGGAGTTGAATCAGCCTCTCAGCCTCTTAGCCGCTCAGCTGGTTTCTTACCTTGTTGCTCTATATTAAAGAACATGGTACAGGTGTCACAATTTGAGTACAAAATCACGGCCTGTGATACCTTCTCACCCGAGGTGATGTAAAGGTTTTGTTAAAACACCAAAAACTAGGCATGATTCAATTTAAAGTTTTCGCGAGCCTCATGTAGGGGGTGTTTGATTTAAATTCGAACGCATTGATTACAAAACATCTTTAAAATATACACAAGAGATATTGGTGCAGGTGGGTTATACGACCAGGAGGACATTCTGGAGGGAGACATTGTAGAATTAATATCTTAATTATTGCGAATCAGGATACGGTTTTACTCACAAACGTGCTGAGCATCATCGAAAACTACTAAATCCGTCTATATTAGAACAAATTCAAGGACGTGAATAAAGCAGGGGTGCACCAAAGTTACTACCCGTGCAGCAGGCGGAAAGCTAGCCGTAGGGAAACGCGGATGATTGAATTGTCATCCGCGTTTCCCCAGCAATAGATTTACTGCGACACAAGTAGTAAATTAAGTTTAGTGGTTTTCCATGATGCTCAGCAGCTTCTAATTGGAACTATAAGTTATTCAATATACACAAAACGAGAAGGAGCCCGCCACCGCCGACCGTTACCGCCGACTCGATTATTATCGAATTCCTCGCGCTTTTGCGTCTTCTTTGTTCGTTGCTATGAGTGCCCCCCTCCTAGAGAAGCGGACGGCAGAGGGGCGTAGCACAGGTGACGCGTCGACAGCCACGTGTCCTGATGGCAGCTACCATTGCACAGGTTTGAGTCGGTCAAAAGACACAGTGAGTTGTAGTTTTGGCTGCACTGGGCGTACTCTGCGCAAGGCAGCTTTTAGTTTATTGTAGTAGGTTACAGGGTCCGGTTCAGCTTGCGGATCACTTGGCGGGGGGGGGGGGGGGGGGGGAATCACCTGGAAGACGTGAAGTGCTGCCATACGCGAGTTCTTCAGGGCTGCAGTTGAGCTCTTACTTGACTGCAGATCAGAGGCCAAGTAGAATGAGTGGTAGATGTCTGCACCAATAAGTGGAATCTTCTTGTGCCTTGGGTGAGGACTTGAGTGAGCGATGGAATCTTTCTACCATACTGTTGGCGATAGGATGATACGCGGTTGTGCGTATACAGTATTACCGAGCAGATGCATGAAGGAGCGAAATAAAGCTGACTCTAACTGCCGTCCGCGGTCTGTTATGCTGGATGGCACACCAAACCTTGCAACCCATTCACTCAAGAAAACCCGCGCGATGGTAGGCTTTCGTTAGCGTGTGAATCTATCGATGCACGTAAGTATCTATGTGTTCCCATCTGATGGAGGTAAAGGACCGATAATGTCAATATGGATGTTATCAAGTCGTGTGGTGGTCACGGGGAATTGTTGAAAGTCTGGGAGTTGTGGCGATGAATTTTTGATTTTTGGCAACCGATACAAGCGCGTGTCCATTCTCTCCCATCCTTATTTACGCTGTGCAAAATAAAACATTGTGTTATCAAACGCTGCCTTGCGCGTATCCGAGTGTGCGAGAGACCATGAAGCGAGTCAAAAACCTGACTGCGAAACAGTACAGGGACAACAGGTCGCAGCACTCCAGTTGAAACATCGCAGGGAGAGCGTGATCACAGTGCGGAATCGTAATCTTTAAGAGCTTCAGTTGGTTGGATAGCTGTGTGAGCAGGAGGATGTCCTTGTCACCTTGTTGCGCGGCCGCCATATCTGCGAAGTCGATGGTAGGTGATATAGCATTGCAGTCGAAGGTCGGTGATATGCGCGACAGGGCGTCCGCTGCTGGGTTGTGAGACCCCTTAACATGTCGGATGTCTGTCGTGAAATCGGCGATGTAAGATAGGTGCCGTGTTTCTCGTGGAGAGAACTTATCGCTTGATGATTTCAAAACATAAGTGAGAGGTTATTGTCCATGAGAAAAGAACTGCCGACCATCTAAAAATTGTTTGAAGTGCCTGATGGTTAAGTATACTGCCAGGAGTTCACGGCCGAAAGTGCTGTAGCTGCACTCTGCAGGATCCAATTTTTTCAAAGAAAAATGCAATCGGGTGCCAGACTGCTCCGATGTATTATTGCACAATTGCCCCAGCAGCAGTGTTGGAAGCCTCAACCATGATGTTCAGTGGGGTGATTCCACGAGAGATCGAACCTGCAGGTCCACTCAACATTTTTATTTTTTGTGGTTTTTTTATATGTAATGTACACACAAATGAATCGTACGAAACTGAACTTTTTTTTTCGAAAACGCGTTTTCACTATGAGAAAAAAAATGTTTCAAGATTGCGCGACGGCCCTGCTCCCACCGTGGACTGCATTAATTGGCAACTTTGCGGTTCTGTGGACGGCAGGCAAAGGGCGGTCGGCCAAAAATGTTTCCTGTTTCAGGTAGTACGCCAAAGTTGAAGTCAACTGCATGCAAATATTATGTCCTTTATGGATTAAAGAAAATATAAAAAATTCATAACTTTTGACCAGGCGCAACAAATACACTAAATTTCAGGCCTTCTACCTCACTATGTACGTATGGCATTAGCGACTTCGAACACTATACACAATATAGGCCAGGGCATCTAAATTATACCTGCAAAATATGAACTTCAAATAAAAATAAAAGCATAGAAAACAAATTTTGAAAAAAAAAACAAATTTTTCAAAAAATACCCATATTGAAAAAAACAAAATGAAAAAAAAACCTGTCTCGATTTAATTAAAACTCTGGGGTACAACTCTTCTTAAGCCAGGCAAAAAGAATGTTTAAAAACATGTTGCATCATTTGCTTTGTACAAAAGTTCTAAGCTGTCAAAGTGGCAGTTGCGAGGCGTCTTGTCTCCGGCGTTTTTTGCTTCACCCCGCTAAGTTTTTTCTTTTTTTTTCTTTTTTTTTTAGGAGAAGTAATTTTTTTTTTGTCACAAATAATAAATTTAGGTCTTGTAGCTTGCTGTAATAAAAACATATTTCCAGATTTTTTTTTCGTGTGGTTGTTTATGAACGTTTACGCTCCTTTATCGCGCTTCGACTTCGCATGTCTCGTTTATTAAAATTGCAGGGAATAAAAGAACGACGCCTCGGGTACAATGCTAAAGGGCGCTAATGTTATGGCGAAGCCAAGGAGGAGGTTCACTTACGTTGGCCACGCGGTATACGTGATTCGCGGTCGATGGCGGAGTCAGGAGCTAGTAAGATATTTGAGCTCACGTTTGCCGCGGGGCAAACATACACCCCCCCCCCCCCCCCCCTCCGCCCCCTTGGCTCCGCCGTAACACAAGCGCCCTGCACCCTTGTACCAGAGGCGTCGTGCCTCTATTCTCTACAGTTCTAATAAACGAAACTCGAGTAGACTTCAGCCTAACAGTTTCATGCGCTTCTTTCCTTACGTCTCAAAACGTAACAACGACCTGAAATAGAACGGCTTGTCAACGCCTCCCCTTGAAGAATATTTGGAGAATCCACAACTCTAAGTCCATGAAGGTGGATTACTGCGACAGTTCAGCTAGACTCTTTTCAAATGCACGGTGGCAGAGTTGGTGTCGACGCGTCAGTGATGTCATCTGGGCGTTTGTGTGTTTGTGCGTGTATGCCCATGGGAAGGGCACAGATGCAGAGGTTCACTGCACGTGAACTTTGACTCTGCCTGGTTCGTGGCCACTGGCGTTGGTCGTCAGCGGGGGATCTCCTCGGTTGCAACAGCATTGCGAAACCTCAGGGCTTCAGTTGGTTTGGCGGCGCAGACGAAGCAACGGTAGAGGCGACAGACGTCGCCGTTGTGCCCTCAATGCACGCAGCACATAGCTCCGACTTTTTTGCGCCGATTACCTCCGCGTTCGCAAGAAGAAGATACCTTCCAACAGAAATGTTCACAGTGTCAAGTGTTTAGATGTTAAATTACTGCGGACGCTGCATGATACAAAAATCTGGTAATTTGCAGGATTTGCAGGTCTGCCGCCACTGCTTCGGGCGCCTGAAGGTGCTCGTATACTCATCTGCCGGCACACTGGACAAAACTGACGAGACATTTTTTCAGGATGAAAAACAGTGAATGACCTCACCAGGTATGTCCAACTTTCCAATGTTTCTCCGTTGAAGCCAGCATCTTCCATTCGGAAGCGGCTCAGAAAATCTAATCGGTAGAGAAAGCAGGCAGAGATTGAACAGGAAGTGTTGACAAAAATACGCTCATGTTTAAGTACATAGGTGATACTTCAGCTTGCGCGTATTTTTGTCAACACTTTATTTTCAATCTTGGCCCCCTTTTTCTCCCTATTAGATTTTCTGAGGGGCTCCCGAATGGAATATGCTGGCTTCAACGGAAAAACTTCGTAAACAAAAATTCAGGTTATTGACTGCTTCTCCTTCCTGAAGAAATGTCTCGTAGGTTTCTTAAGGTGAGCCGGCAGAAAAGGATATTAGCTCTTTTTCTTCCCGAAGAAATGTCTCGTTGGTTTCATCAGGTTTGCCGGTCGAGAAGGATATGAGCACCTTCAGGCGCCCCAAAGCGGTGCTGTCAGACCTGCTGTTCTGTATCCTGCAAATTACCAGATTTTTGTAGCATGCAGCGTCCGCAGTAACATAACATCTAAACGCTTGACACTGTGAAAATTTATGTTGCAATGTATCTTCTTGTTGTGAACGCGGAGGTAATCGGCGCAAAAACCTCTGAGCTATGTGCTGCGTGCATTAAGTGCGCAACGGCGACGTCTGTCGCCTCTCCCGTTGCTTCGTCAGCGCCGCCAAACCAACTGAAGCCATAAGGTTTCGCAATGCTGTTGCGACCGAGGAGATCCTCCGCTGACGACCAACTCCAGTTGCCACGAACCAGGCAGAGTCAAAGTTCACGTGCAGTGAACCTCTGCATCTGTGCCATTCCCATGGGCATACGCGCACAAAACACTCAAACGTCCAGGCGACATCCCTGACGCGTCGACACCAACTCTGCCACCGCGCATTCAAAAAGAGTCTAGCTGAACCGCCGCAGTAATCCACCTTCATGCGCCCAGAGTTGTGGATTCTCCAAATATTCTTCAAGGGGAGGAGTTGACGAGTCGTCATATTTAGGTCGTTGTTACGTTTTTA